AGGGGAGGGGAGGGGAGAGGAGAGGAGAGGAGAGGAGAGCCAAGCCTTGGCTGACAAGGGCTGATGAGATGGCTCAGTGGTTAAGGACGCTTGCTGTCATGACAATCAGAATATGATTCTTGGGACTCACATGATGGAAGGACTCCCACAAGCTATACTCTGGTCTCTACACATACAACTATGCCCTGCATATGCACACACACACACACACACACACACACACAAATCAATCAATCAGTACACAGATGAATGAATGAATTAATGAATGAATGAAATTTAAAGCGCTGACTAGGTTATAGTAGTGCTACTATGGATTCTTTTCTATTTAACAAGATCTTAGGAACACCGCTGGCATAATATTTATATATTTTCAACAGTTTTAATTTTGTTTGATTTTTGAGACAAGGTTTCTGGGTAGCCCTGGCTATCTTGGAACTTACTTTGTAGATCAGGCTAGATTCAAACTAAGAGATCCACCTACCTCTGCCTCTGGAGTGCTGGGATTAAAGGCATGCGCCACCATACCCAGCTCATTTTTAATATTTTTAATTTGGAACAAAGATAATCTCAACCTAGCAGGAGAATAGTGAGTTTTTAAAGCAGCCTGGACTATACACAGGAAGAATTTTTTTTTTTAAAGGAGACCCAACAGTTGCGATAGCTCAGGCTGAGGAAGAAATGGCATACAGTCCTGTTTAGAACTTTAAGAAGCCCAAGACAGTAAAACTGGAGATCTCAGACACGAGGCAGAGCCCGTGCTTAGCATGTGTTATATCCTAGTTTGAATCCCAAACCCACATCCACAACACAAAGATACCATGGAGATGGATTATGGCAACAATATAAAATAACACACACATAAGCACATATATATTTATATGTGAGACTGTATTTGGGATCATTGATAGAACGTCTTGTTAAAATTTTATTTCTCAGGAATTTAGTTCTTAAAAAGTTAATGCAAAAAAAAGTTAACGTTCCAAAGAATCTGCCCTACTGAGGAGTTCTCCTCATCAACTAATCTTCTTCCATCTATTTTATCAAATAGTAAAACCAAAACATCTGGTAAAAGTTAAGCTGCTTGGCTCTCTGCCAACACATTAGTGCTACGAACTGGAGTTCATAAAAATAAAAGAACTATAAAGGTGTAGCATTTCAAGAAGACAATCAAATCATAAATACATATGCATATTATACATACAAAATATATATTGTGGTACTGATTCAGTATAATCAGACCTCTATAAAGAATTTGACTTGGGATGGGATGATGCCTTCGTGGCTAAGAGTGTTTACAAGCATAAGGACATGAGTTCAAACCCCAGCACACATAAAAAATTACGCATGGCCATGTGTGTATCTGTTACCACAGAGCTGTGGGGACAGAGACAAGGAGATCACTGAGCTTGCTGGCTGCTAGACTAGCTCCAGGTTCAGTGAGTGAACTGTCTCAAGGGAATCAGGAAGAGTGACAGAGCCTACTCAACATCTTCTGGCCTCTGAGTAGGTACACATTCACCTGTACACAAACATGCATACATGCCCCTCCCCAGATAAATAAAAAATCACTCTTTGAAGCACTGTTTTCTAAGATGTTTGGACTTTTTTTTTCCAAACAATTACTCAAGTGGTTGGTTCTAAAAGAATTAAAGTATCAGGGGCTGGAGAGATGGTTCATTGATTAAGAGCACTGACTGCTCTTCCAGAGGTCCTGAGTTCAATTTCCAGCAACCACATGGTGGCTCACAATCATCTGTAATAGGATCTGTAACCCTCTTCTGGTGTGGCTGAAGACAGGGACAGTGTACTCATACACATAAAATAAATACATATGTCTTTAAAATAGAAAGAATTAAAGTATCAAAGCACATAGCTATTATAACTAGGGTCCAGCTAGTATTTATCAAGCACAAATACATGCAGGAACTATGAAAATATTTTACCTGCACACAAGTTTGGCAAAGATATAAATGCTCTATAGCTTATAGGAAATACTAATGAAATTCTCCCACTTCAAAGCTAGTACTTACATTGATCCGCACGGTGAGGTGACACACAGGTGGATATATGCTCAGAACCAAATCATCCACACTAAGAGCAGACAAATATAACCATTAACTACAAAAGGGCAGATCTTCTCAGCGTGGTTGTTTCTAGTATACAACCAACTCAGTTTCTTAATTTAAGCAGGCATGCAATGCAGAAGCAATTCAACCAATGTTTGCTGAGATAAACATGTCCACTACTTTTAACCGTGTGACTAAATTTATTACTGCTAAGAAGAAAGTCAACATCATGTGCCTCTCCAACAGGATATAAAGGAAAGTCCTCTATTTTTTAACCCATAGTGTTTTACTTTATTACTATTATGAGAAAATAATCTTATAAATCCAAATTGTTGTGTATTTACAATATGTAATTCTGAAATGTCAATATCAAGTCAGACCAGAAGGGACAGAGACTATTCAAGATTGTAAGAAACTAAACAAATGCCAAGCAAATGTAGTAAGAGATCTTAATGGAACCCAGAATATATTTAAGACATTTTGAGACAGAGAAATCTAAGCATTAGATATTATTATTACATCGAATGTTAAATTTCTTGAATGTGACTCTAAGAATGTCTGTTCTCAGGAGGTTGCTGATAAAATATTCATGGGTGAAAGTAGAAAAAACATATCATACCTATTTATCAAGAAGTAAGTACATAGGAGAAAGAGGTGAATAGAATCCAAATAAAGGATATATGGCTATTTACTCAAGTTTTTTGTTTCAATTTTCCTTTAGGCTTGAAATTTTTCAAAGTACAAGAAGCTGGAGGAAAGAAAGCCTGGAGCAACAGTATTGCTCAGATCACAGTGCTCCTGTTTCCCCAAGTGCAATGCACGCTTACCTGGGGCTGATCTCATCCGAAATATCCACAATGTCATCCAGCTGGGCGACCTGATCCTTCTTCCCATTCTCAGCCACCAAGATCCGGATTTTCTTGAGGGAAGCTCGGGATGCTCTCACCAGTGCAAGGCATGGGGTTATGAGCGCCTGATCTTCCTCTGACCAGTATGAGTCCCGATTGCTGGGAAGCCCTAGTGCACCATCCTCATCACTGTGGCTGTTGGAGCTGTCTTCAGAGTCACTCAAAAGGCCGCTGTAAGGGTCGCACTCTTCTACAGCCTAAGACATACACCATTGTAATTACAAGTGCAAACATACCACCACCGTCAGCCACCTGCTTTGCTATCAGCTATGAGACTGAATCTATTTAGAAACCAACGTTCTCATTCTGCTTGTCCAGCAAGGAACAGGGGAGGCACTAAGACACAAGCCAAACACGGTGAGAGACGGAGGGCAGGACAGGAGTGAGTGTGGGATAATTCAGGGGAGGCACTAAGACACAAGCCAAACACGGTGAGAGATGGAGAGCAGGACAGGAGTGAGGGTGGAATTATTCAGTCAAGCTGTGGGGAACTCCTGCCTTTATGATCAGTTCTCATGAAATTGCTTTCCTGTGACCAGGAACGGTAAGCGCCCTCACCTGCTCCATTTCTTCATGTGCATCTTTCACAAAATCCACACTCTTTGTCAGCATCAAAAGGGCTGCAGCTTTGTTATCTATAAGTGAAGAATCAGAAGCACTAGAATCAAAGGAGAAACTTAACCCTTCTCTTAAGATTACAGAGGGCAAGCAGCACTGCTTTAAAGTAAAACTCTCTAATTACACCTTCTGCCTAGCAAGAGGGTTAAAAAGGCTTTTTAATTTCACCTACAACTGTCTCATGGTATTTGTTATCACAGTCCTCTTGATAAGCACTCTCAGTCTGCCTGACTCTGCTTTATAGCTCTCTCAGTGTGCTCTCCGATGCTGTTCCTGGGACAGTAATAGGAGAGCAAACTGTCTGTTCAACTAGAGACAGAGCCACAGTAAGGGGAGGAGTCTGAATTTAAGAGTTGTGCTCAGTGGCACAGCACTTGGCTGGCATAGCCTGGGCCAAAACCAAACTAAACCAAACCAAAAACCAGTATGAGGAATGGCAAAAAATATTAAATCAATTAATATTAATGAAAATAAACTATATATTATTTCACTAAAGTCTTCACAGAAATTAAAATATATCCATAAGGCAATGCTGGAAGCTAAACCTGAGAGGCCTCTCTGCTCTGACCAGCAGGTAATTATTTACTTCTACCTACCTTTTGGGATCTCAGGCACCTGTTGGCATGCAACTGTGACACTATTGCAGGAAATCAGGTCACCATTCTCAGTGCTGGAGAAAGGAATTTACAAGGACATATCAATAAGCTAGGTTTCTGTCTCCCAATAAGGTCCACTATTATAAGTGACTATGAGAGACTTTGCTGTTAGGGTCAATTTTCCCTCCCTGAGTCAAGAAACCCCACTAACCGTTAGCCCACACTGCAGCACCCACTACCTCTGTGATGGAACAGTAAGAAGCACTTCCAGGAGCTGAGCCATGCCATCCACAATGTCCAGGGTAGCATTCCGTACCAGCTTTCTCAAGGTGGTTCCTACAGCCAAACCAAAACAGTGAGTTGCCTGGTCATTTCAAATGTCACCACTTGCTTTCTGGAGTGTTCCAGAGCCATGAGGTAACTGATACTCACATGCTGTACATCACCAACCAGTGCGAGCCTTACTTAAATTCTCAGGTCATTTTATTGTCCCTCTTGCCACTCCTTAGAGCTGTTCTCCAAGAGTTTTTGGAAACAAGTCTTTCCAATTGTATTCATTCATGAAGGACGCTGGTCCTTTGATAATTGTGAGTAAAACACTGGATGTTTAAAGCTTGTGTAAGTAACCCTGATGAATGAAGTATAAATCTACTTTACCTTGTGAAGGGGTTGGCAAACAGGTTATAATGTAATGCTAGGTGGAGGATTGGGATGGCCTGGGCAAGGGTATGGAGCTGAGATCCAGCAAGCATATATAGTAGTTAGACTGGACTGAAAAGAAATTAGGAGCTGAGAAGATAGGATATTTGGTAAAGTGCCAGTTACAAAGCCATGATGTCTTGAGTTCGGTTCCCAGAACCTACGTGAGAAAGGCAGACACACTGGAGCGTTCCCATAATGTCAGTGCTGGGAATCAGTGAACTCCAATGAAGACTCTAAAAACCACAAGACACTTGCCTCCAGGTGTACTTGTATACACATGCATAAGCACGAATAAACATGTGTACCTACGTGTGTACATACATACACAGACACAAATAATAAATTATTTTTATAAAGGGTCAGTTGAGGGGTTGAAGACATGGCTCAGCACTTAAGAATACTTAGTGGTCTCCCAGAGGACCCAGGTCCAATTCCCACAACCCACATGGCAGATCACACTGTCTGTAACTTTAGTTCCTGGAGAACCAGCACCCTCTTCTGACTTTAGCAGGGACTAGACATACATGTGGTATACAGAGACCCATGCAGACAAAGCACCCATACCCATAAAATAAAATAGAAAATGTAATGGCCCATTGAGATGGCTCAGTAGGTAAAAGCACTTGCTGCACAAGCCTGATGATCTGAGTTGAATCCCAGGAACCCACAATGGAAGGAGATAGCCCATTCCTCATGTGTATAACACACACACACACACACACACACACACACACACACACAGTTGTAAAAGAATTAGGTAAGGCAGTAATGATGGTAAATCACAGCTACGTGGCATCTGTACCTTCACATATGGAGTGACACAGGTCATTCACATAGAAAATTATCTTTGACTATTTCATAAGAAAGTCACATGCTCAAAAATGAAAAAAATAGACATGTATAATATGTTTACATATATAATATTACATTGAAGACAAACATCTAATGTTTACATATTTCATGTTTACATATCAGGATACAGTCAACTACCTTAGCAAAGATCTAGCCTGTAAATACAACACTACTGTATATAGGGTGACTTACCCTGATCCTTAGGAAGTGAATAATATACTGCAATTAGTTCCTCAATGGCCATATGGACTTGCTCACAGATCCTCTGGGTTTCCTATGAGGTGATGGACCAAATTCAGAATGGATGTTCAGCATCAGTGCTGTCAATTCATTTACTAAGGAAGAGATCAAACATCTATAGAGCATGATTAAATATTTTATGAAAACTTGTCATGTGTCAGGCCTTATGATGTACTCATCCCACACTAGAAAGAAATTAGGTAGACACCTGACAATTCTAAAAAGCATTATAAAAGGAAGGGCAGCTTTGGCTGTCCTGGAACTTGCTCTGTAGACTAGGCTGGTCTCAAACTCAAGAGAGCCGCCGGCCTCTACCTCTCAAGTGCTGGGATTAAGGGTGTGGATTACCACCACCACCACCACCACCACCACCACCACCACCACCACCAGCAGCAGCAGCAGCAGCAGCGACAACTTAACACTAAAGGATTTTGTATAACAGGTGTTGCTTAGATACTGTGAAGACATCTAACTCCTCCTCCACTATTTATAGACCTGCGCCTCTAGACCTGCTGACTCATCTGTCAGATGGGGAATATGTAGGGGAACAGCTATATATCAACAAGGGCTTTAAAAATCACGAGGAACTAACCTGGCTGAGTTTCAGACTAAATTTAGAAGACCCTCATGCACTTGGCTATTTGGTCTTTACAACAATCCCATTCGGTAAGAAATGTAATCTCGCTTGATAAATGGAGGAAATAAGTGTGGTTTGGGTGTGAAAGGTAAGAAAACGGGAGGATTCTTAAGGAGGCAGCACAAAAAACTCCGAAGTAAAGCTCACCTGTGGGGATGGCAATGGAAGTTTAGAGAAGAGCGTTGTCAGAACAGTGGCTTCCCCGGACACTTTCACCGCTGACTCATCTGGGGGTGTCAGAGGCGGCGGGTGCCAAAGTTAGTGTTAAAAGGTTAAAGTTGCTACTTGGACTTTTTAGATAATGCGTCCCTTCTCCACCCTTATCAACATCTCCAAAACAACTGCAGAAATCGTTTTCTATTTCAGCCTCAAGTGCAGAGAATGGGTAGCAGAAGGGATGAGGAATTGTCATCTCCTCAAGGGACAGCAAAGGTAAAAGAGGTTAGGACACAGGAAGATGAGGGAAGAGTCCGCAATGGCAGAGACACTCACTGAGTCTTCTCCAAAACATCTCTCGATTAAATTCTTCAGCTGTCTCCTGGGCTTCGCCGACTTGAGGAATGCCGGACCACCCCAAAAGCAAAAGACAGGTGAGAGGAGCCCTGACCTGACGCCCGACCTCCCTACCCAGAGCCCGGGGTGCAGATTCCCACAACTCACCCCGTACACGAGGCAGAAGCGACCGCAGCTCCTCTGCTAAGTGCCGGAGCTGCTCCAGAGGGGGAGCAAGGAAGGGGGCTGCGGCTGTCGAGCTCGCCATCACAGCCTCTCTCCGGGAACTAGTTAAGACGCTTAAGCCATTTGGCCCTGCCGCAGTACTTCCGGTGCTGAAAATTTCATCTCGTTTCCGGCAACACACATAGCGTCCCGCCCCTTCCTCCCCAGTGTAGCGACCCCGCCTTCCCAGACAGCCTGGCCATCAGTCCTGGCCTTCGCCTGCCTAGAGACCCGCCTACCGGAATCCAGCCCACTCAGAAACCAGACCACGCCTCCCGGCGGCCAAGAAACCTGCCCACGCCCCGCTGGCCCTGGCCTAGAGACGCAGCCACGCCTCCTTCATCTGTCATCCCAGCAAATCTAGAGACCTGTTCAGGTTCTTATCCCTGGCTACCCCCTACTACCCTTCCCTCTATGACACCAGGCCATTCCTTAGCCACCGAAAGAAAGACCCAGCCAGGCATCTTCTGACCTACTGGAGACCTGACCACTCTTTTATGTAACTGAGTTTTTTCCCTGCAAATGTCTGTGGCAGTGCCTGTAGAGGCCAGAGAGAGAATCAGATTCCCGGGGCAGGGAGTTATACCGTGTGGGTGAAGAGAATCGAACCTGTGACCTTTGGAAGAGCAGCCAGCACTCTTAACTGCTGACTCTAGCTCCATGGTGACTCTTCAAGCCCCAAACACCAGGCCCACTTTCCGGTTCCCATATGTTTATTAACAATGCAGATACATTTGTGATATTTCTTTGTTAATACTTATCTTTTATTATTTTTTAATTAAGTGTAAGTCTGTGCACATAAATGTAGGTGCCCACAGTGGCTCTGGCCTGGGGCTAGAGTTACAGGCAGTTGTGAGCATCCAACATGGTTGCTAGGAATTGAACTCAGGTCTTCTGGAGGGAAAGTACATGCTCTTAACTACTGATCTCTCCAACCCATTGTTTGTGGTTATCATTCATTCGTTTATTTGATTAGTTGAAAATGGCCTTGACTAAGGAAGCAGAAAGTCCATAATCCTTGGGAAAACATGCTGGGAAGTCAAGTCTCAAGAGTGGTAAAGGTTCAGGACAAATTTCCACAGGTTCCCTAGGCATAAAATGGCATCCTGAACTCCAAATTTGGGCTCGATGCTTTTCACAGGATGACCCTAATAAACACAGTAGTACTGAGGGACTCAGTGACACAGAGACCCACCCTGGCAATCTCCTTGATTAGGGCTCTTTGCCTCCTGAGGGAGAATCAATCGTTAGTCTTTTCTGCAGTCCACACAGCAGGAATCAGTAGTAAACATTTCCAACATTCAGACGTCCAAGGAGTGACAGCTTCCTGAAGCTCACCCACTGATACTGGCTTTCCCATCTGCCACTGGTGCAGAGATCTGGGTCACAAATGTGGAGGCTGGACTTCTTCCAGGTTGCTAGCTGTAAGCCATGGACTTCAGGAGCTCAGATGACTCTTTAACTGTACCATGAATATTCCAAGTTCAGTGGAGTTCAATGTCCACACACGATAAATGAGTACAGGTGTCAGCAATGTCAACCAGGTCCTCAATGGGGAGAGTATAAAGGCAAAGGAGCCATATGTCACATGAAGAAAGTAGCAAGAATAAACCTGCCATATATACAGTAGAAGCATCAGTAGGTAAACAGGTATAATCTTCAAGTATTTTCCCTGGTGGAGATGAGACCTGAAGTTGTGACCAAAACAGCGATGTAGCAAACTCCAGCACATGTAAGCCATCAAGGGGATGTTAAAGAATACCAGCTAGAAAAAAGGAGACAGAACCATTAACATACCACCAAGCTCTGGGTGGGGTGGGATCTCATGATTAGTAACTTCTACTAATATGTCTTCAGTTTAGATGTCTGATTGTTTTTTCTTTGGGGTGGAGGATGGAGTTGTAACTCAGGAATTTGCATACAGTGCAAATAGAGTGCTCAGGCAAGCATTCTACTCCTGAGCTGTTATGTCTGATTTTTTTTTTTTTTGAGACAGAGTTTCTGTATGGCTTCCTGGAACTAGCTCTGTAGACCAGGCTGGTTTCAAACTCAGAGATCCACATGTCTCTCCATCCTTAGTGCTGGGATCAAAGGTTTGTGCCACCATACCCAGCATATGTCTGATTTTTAATGCATTGATTATACTTTTTGTTAGAGAACAGTTGACCTATAGTTAACTGTGTATTTGCCCGTCCTTTCGTTTATCTTAAAGGTAGGCATGATTTATGTTAAAGTCCCTATTGTAATAGAGTTATACTATAATACAGATATATACTTCAGATACCAAGAGTAGGTACACAATAGTGTTTATATTGGAAATGAACTGAGTAATCTGTATAGGCACACAACAGAGTATAGGCTCTATGTGGACAGAGTGAAAGGAGGATTTAGGTATCAGTATCGAGGTAGCATTCTGAGTACTGAAATATAAATTAGATATAGGTTATAATCCAGTAGTTGTGTATGGTTCATTCAACAAATATTCATAAAGCACCCATTACACAGCAGGCATTGTGCTAGGCTCTAGGTTAAAGGCACACTGGTGAACAAGTAACAAAACCAAAAAGGGGCGGAGTGGATGGGGGTGTGGTAGGTGGCAGGCTGGGGAGGAGTGATTAAGAACAATCGCTGCTTTTACAAAGGACCCAAGTTTGAGTCCCAGCACCCACATAAACACTCACAACTGTCTGCTAGCTTCAAAACAGCGGTTCTGAAGCCCTCTTCTGGTCTCCCAGGGCACTGTAGTCACATGACACACAGACATACATACAGGTAAAATACTCATGCCCATAAAATAAAAATTAAAAGGACTCCATTAAAGTCAGATATGCATACGTATATATTATAGACAAACATGTATATTTACAAGGGACATAACTATAGGCTGTGATAAGTTTAATGAAGGAAGTAATTGGGTCATGAAAGGGTAACTAGGAGACAGACTCTTTGAAGCACAAAGGGCAGCAATGAGTCAGCTGAGGGAAGTACATTCTGAAAATAAGAAACAAAAATTCAAGATTGGGAGACATCTTAGGCTCTTTAATACTTGCTGACAGATAAACCAGCTGGGAATTGGAGATAGAGCCACTGGATAAGGATGCAAATTAGTTCTGTGTTTATTTTAAAGAAATTGAATATAAACTACTTTATCAGTGTTTCCCAAACAAGAAACTGGAAAGGGGATGTCCCATAGTATGTTTCATTGATGGAGTGCCACCTTCTTAACATGTTCTCTGCTAAGACAGCACTGGAAAGCCCAGTTCTACTGTTTGAACAGTGGCGTTTTCCTTAAATAACTCACTCTCCTAATGTGTCTGTTTTTTCTTCTCAACTCTCTGAAACATTTTTTCTCACTATAATCAGTTTTTTAAACTTGGCAATGTAAAATTTATTCTACTATAAAACTCTTATTTCATTTTCATCTATAAAAGAGTGTGATAAAAACTGGGCATAGTAGCTCACAGAGGCAGGTGGATCTCAGTAAGTTTGAGGCCTGTCTGGTCTACATAGTTTCAGGACAGCCAGGGCTACAGAGAGACCTTGCCTCAACCCACCCCATCCCCAAAAGCACAATAGAACAAGAACCCTGAATGGACACAATGTATTTTAGATGTTTACAGTTACTTCTCAGCCTTTTGGATAAAAGCAGATGTAGATGTTACAAAAGAGAAGAGGGAGAAAACAGGAGGAGGGCAAAACATCAGCTATCAGAAACTGACATGCAAATAAAGTAGGGAAGATGCTGCACAGTAGGAACTGGAGCTCCCTGTCACGTGATTAGTCCAATAGGGCCCGATGTTCTTCTGAGGACTTCTTACCTGCATAATTCCACTTATAAATGTTAGACCACCTTGCAGGAAATGTCCATCAACAAATATCCCAAATGAAAAGCAGCAACCGAATTTGCCATCAATTATCTCACCAACAAACCATGGTCCTGAGGGAGAGATGGACAGAAGCAGAAGAGTTACAACTATGAGTCTTGGCCAGCAAGGTCACCTACTGGGTTAGGACATCTGCTGCCCAGCCTGGCCACGTGAATTCAGTTCCTGTGACCCACATAGTGAAAGGAGAGAACTGACTCTTGCACATTGTCCTCTGACTCCAAATAAATACTGTGGCACATATGTCCATACATATAAACACACATAGAAAATAAATAAAAATGAAATTTAAAGTATGAGTCTGATTGCATATTTTACAAAACATCTTTCCAGGAATAATCAAGAGATACAAATTTCAGCAACACTAAGCATTTTGCTTTGTGGCATCTCTTCTTTGATAATCACTGTTTCCTACCTGACATTCTAACCAGCTGTTTTCTCCACACTTTTCTGGATTGTAAAATCATTTTAGTCTATGATATACTTGAAATAGGTATATGGTTTGTAAATTCTGAAAACACTATCATGCTCAAGATTTTAAACATTCTGTTGTAATAACTTTAACATAACACAGTAATATTTTCTTTTTTAAATTTCTTTTGAGATTTTATTTGCTTTTATGTGTATTGTAATATGTTTTGCCTGTATTATGTCTTTGTACCATATGCATGCTGTGCCTTTAGAGGCCAGAAGATGGCATCAGATGTCCTAGGACTGAGTTACAGCTAGTTGTGGCCACCATGTGGGTGCTAGGGATTGAACCCTAGTCCTCTGATGAGTATCCAGAGCTCTTAACTACTGAGTCAGCTTTCCAGCACCATATTAACACAGTGCTATTACTCTTGAGTAACTGAGATCTACTGTTTAAAGCAACAAAACTTTAAGTGTGCTGTAAAGATTGTTACTATTTTTAAAGATTATGTATATGTACATATGCTAAGTGTGGGTACACACATGAGTGCCTGTGGAAGCCAGACGTACAAGGTTTCTGTGGAGCTGGATTTATGATCCAAACTCAGATCCTCCACAAGGGCAGACATGCTCTTAAATGCATGTCTTAAATGCTCTTTTCTTCAGTCTGTCTTCAACTATTTCTAAAGGAAAAACTTAAAAGATGCGTTTATATACCCTTCTTTCTTATCAGTAGTGATGAACTTTTCTTATCAAGGCAGTCACTGTGCTGTCCATCAACTGTACGTAATCAGAATCAACACTCACTGTAACTTGCACCTTTAGTTTTCACCTAGAATGCTGACTAGCCTCTCATCTCTGTCATTATTCCCTGCTCCTTCTTACGTGTAGGTTTCTGTCAAGAGTGCTAAGGAACAGGCAGAGAGACACAAATGCTATCATGATCTGTCTTTCTTTCTTTCCTTCTTTCTTTCTTTCCTTTCTTTCCTTCTTTCTTTTTTTTTTTTTTTTTTTTTTGGTTTTTCGAGACAGGG